TCGGTGTAGAGTTGCCTTCAAACGCCCTCCAGCGTCTCCGTAAGGATAGTAGGGAACCGTTCGGAGTCGTGAGATCATCCTAGAACAGACTTCTTCATAATTCCTCTGAACTTCTCTTGTTCAGCTTAGATACTTTTCCTCCAGCATCCTGAATTCCAGCATTCTGAACTCTGGAACTGCCGGAACTAACTCACAGCATTCTCTCAGCGTTCTTCTCAGAACTGCTGAGAACTTCTCAGAACTGCGTTCTTCTCAGAACTTCAGTGAACTGCCGTGAACTAGGAAGTGTTGCACCTTTTAAAAAAGGTCACTTCCGGTTCATTTGAGACCTTTCTGATTGGTCGGTTGACCAAACAGAGGTGTGTTTTTGTGATGTAAGAGGTTATTAAAAGTCAAGGAAAAAAGATTAGATTGTTTAAGAACAGACAGAAGATATTATGAAGATTCCAGACTTCGTGGAGTCAATTCTCTAGTATCTTTCTGTAAAAGTTAAACATGACATTTCTTTTCAGTAAACTTGCAGTTGACCGAAACTTGACCTTTGACCAACTTCACAATTTGCTCATTGAAGACAGAAAATCAGACAATGCATCATTAACCTGATTTCTACTTTGAATGAGGATAAAAATCACTAATACTGTTTCACAGCGGATTTAAAATGAGTAGTTCACTTCAACATTTAAAAATGGTTTGAACTAAACACAATTTGATTATCAAAACATTTGTAAAATAGTAATGATAATAGAAAAAGAGAGTGTTCTTTCAATTGATCAGTGCAGGACACTTAGAAAGTCTTCTGGATGGACTTGATTTTGTGTTTCTGGACTCAAATCAATGAAATACAGTTCTTGTTCCAGGCAGGCCCTCAAGGCCAGATTTTGACCTGAGGCTTAGTTCACTACAATTTCGTGGCAAATCCTCTCCTATTCGCATCAGTTTGGTTCGGCTATAGTTCACACGCATAAATCGTGCGGAGTCAGACACAGAGTCAATATCAAAACTTCTAAAAACTGGGATGGTACCGGGAGCCTGTGAAGCTGCAACTGCTCTGAGCGCGGCCATCTAGAAGTGGTGGTGTAAATGAGTAAATGAATAGTTTACTTCAACATTAGAAATGGTATGAACTGAACACACTTTTGATTATTAAGATATTGTAAAATAGTAATGATAATATAAAAAGAAGAGTGTTCTTTCAATTGATTAATTCAGGATACAATTAAATAGTCTCTTGGTGAGATAATTTGTATTTCTGGATTCAAATCAATGAAATAACAGTTCCTGTCCCCTGAAGGTCTTCAGAGACAGATTGATGTAGGAGGTCCAGTTCACTACAGTCCCCCCTTTGGAAATCATCGCCTGTCCATGGGGATGAATTCCAACATGAACTTACACCTCCGAATGTCCTTGATCTTGATGTAATCC